TTTATGCAATATGATGATCAAGTGGCCAATCAGCCTTGGAGGAGGTGTGCGCTCTCCGAGTGTCCTTCTAGTTATTCGTATTTTAAGAGTCTGCTGGGGCCAATTTTATCAACTTTAAATCAAAACTCCATCATTATCCTCTCTACATTCAGATTTTCTGGACACTTAGTATACTCGGATATGGTGAAACAAGTACATAATAAGAAACAGGGAACTAGCCATTCACCAAAGGAAGACCTGTACTGTTTGCTCAGTTGAGACTGAGAACAATGCATGATAGAACCAAAACAAGATGAAAGAAAATGCTGGATCAAAGAAAGTGAATCGTGTGTTGCAGGTCTGGGGTGTAGCTACCTAGCTGGGCCTGTGTGCCATCAGACATCTGGATCAGAGCATTCTCCTTTTTATTGAACAGGATCTTCACCCTCATCACATCGCCATACACACCTAAGGAGGAAGAGGAAGGTGTCACAATCCACGTGCAACAAGGACCAACACAGACTGAACATAATGCCACACAACCAATCACAGCAACAAAAACCATTTAAACCATCAAATCAGACTCATTCATAATACTGCTACTACATGAACAATGTATGATGTAAAAGTAATTGTCGCTAATTTCCTGGTCAATTCTGTGTGGAAATTTTACAACTGAGCCTACACAACCCCGCTTAAATAACAATTACATGGATGCCATGTTAAGCCAACACGTCTGCTCTAGAAGGGGGAGTTAAAGATCTGAAGAGGGCGAAAAAACAAAAAAATAATCAAGGAGTGTTTCTGATCAGTTAAATCTATCTACTCAAGAAAAGGTTGATTACTTGATTAGCTTGAGGGCCTGATAGAGACGTGCAGGAATAAACTGAGCATGCACATACCTACATTAGAGTAACTGAGCCAAACTGCAAAAGAGTAATATGGTGACATAGTCCGAAGAATATGTCAACTCACAGTCACTAAAGGAGCGGCAGCATTTCATCCGTTTACTGAATGAGTCGAGGCAACCACAGAATAAAATGTCTTAAAAACTAAATTTAATGAATTTTAGTGGCTCAAAATTGGATGGTGCAATAAGTAAATAAATTGTTGCCTTTTTTTCCCCCCACTTCTGCAGGGCGATGGTTTAGAATTTAGATAAGCTTTTTGCCTAATTTCAGAATAAATTGTCTATACGTTTCTATTTTGTGGAGCAATATTCAAATAGAAGGGTTGAGCTCTTTGAATATGAAAAACTGCCCGTGGAGAGTAAACAAGGGCTGTTCAAAAATGAAATGCTGCAGCTTTGTGAGGTGTTCTCACCTAACTTCCCTTATACAAACCCACATCAACCAAAACCGGTCATACAAACCCCCCAAAACAAACAGACACCCCCACCCTTCATAGCCCTGTAGCCTGATGACGAGCCATCAGTGGTTAAAAAAAATAACAAAGCCAACAACATGAGACAAGACATGCCCACCTTGCCAGGTAACAGTAGTAATAAAAAAAGGAGATGAAAGGATGATAACGTACCGAAAAGAATAAAGAGGCAGTGTGGCGTAACGCTCTTTAGAGACAGCAGGGGGAGCAGCGGGGCAGGGGGCCAAAGGGGGAGAGGGAACAGGGGACAGGGAAAAGAGACGGAGCGGAGTGGAGGACAGTGGAGTGGAGTCGGGACATGTCCGCAGGCCACAGGCAGCGAGGTCCACAGGAAGGCCACAGTACCATGGAGGAAGGAGAGGCATGAGGGACGAAGAGAATGAAAAGAGGACAAGAGGGGGAGAGGATTCAAACAGCATGAGAGGAGGAGGGAGAGAATAGATGAGATGAGGTGGAGAAATGGAAGGTGGTGGAAGGACAGATGGTGGCAAAATCGGGGGGACCGGAGAGGTGCCAATGTTGTGTTTTTTGTTTTCAATTTGTGGTTTGTGTCCAAATTGGGGACGATGAATGAGGGAGCGAGATTGTTGGATGGATGGGAGGAGGAGTGGTCGTAGTATTAACAGGAGTGGCAGAGGGGAGGAGGACAGAGGGAACAATTGGTCATGGGGCGTGCAGTCAGTTGGCAAGGGTTGAGGTGAGGGTGTTTTAAAACAAAAAAAACAGAGGGAGAGGGGGACAGAGAAAGAAGAGAGAGAAAAAAGGAAGTAAAAACAAGGTCAGTATACACAAAGAAATGTAGTGCTTCAGACAGTAGAACTGGCTAAATTAAAATGCATTGTCACTATGGGAACACTAGAAGAAAAAGAAGAGAAAAAAAGATTAACAATGAAATACAGAAAAAGGCAGAGACAATATGTACTTTTAGGTTACAGGCTTTTTAGTTTAAATTTTCTTAAATTACATTATATTGACATACAAATCTAAAAAAAACAATTGTAATCCTTTAAACTCCTAAAATGTATAGGTCAAATGTAATGACCACACAACTACACTAAATGTAAAGAGTGTGACAGACTACTTATACATTCTACATACTACGCTAGATAATGGACATGTGTGTGTTTACAAAATACAAGGAATAAAGTAATATTGTCTCTCCAACAACTCAGGAATGATTTCAACTAATGGACAAAAATGAAGATATGAAATGGTAAGTTCAAAAATAAAAAGGAAGTTAGTGTTTTGAATAAACTTTAAATTCATAGTGAGCAAAGTGGCAGGTCAGAAATGCAGCAGGTTTGGTCAAACACAGAGAGGATCCTGAAAGAGAAGAGGTTTTGACTTGACACCCCCCTTTCATTAAAAAACAGTGGTCAGGGCAGGCCAACTAATCACATGGTGGGGGAGGTGGGAGACGGGCGATAAAACACTGGTTTCTCTTGAACAAATGGAATTGCGGCCAAGAATCATAGTGTAAACAAAGGGCTGCGTTTTTTTAACGTTTCTCTGCACTGCGCCGACGGAGGCAGGATGAAGAGCTGCTAAGCAAGGTTTAGTGTACTGACCTCAGGGTTCAGATTGCTGACCAGCATGACATTGTGTCCCCCAGTGGCAGTGAGGCCTGATAGGCCGAGCCGGCTGGCAGCCGCTGCCGCAGCTGCCATGCCACCGTGGCCCATACCCAGGGACGCCAGGGCACTGGGAATACCAGGCATTGACAGACCTACAGGAAACAAAATATTGACCACTATGAATTGATTGTACTTTAGATATTGTTTATAGCAGGCAAACATTTGGAGAAAGCATTTCGGCCTTATTAGGAAAGTGTGTACTGACCAGCCTGTTGGATGGCAAAGGCTGGGGGGAAGGCATGAGCTCCACCATAGGGAGAGGCCGATATTATTCCTGGTGCAGCTTGAACAAGAGGAAAAAAGATAAATAAGAACAAAAGCTTTTCCATTGAATGTGAACTTAATGACCACATTCACAGACAACTGATGTATTTGTACATGAGTTTATGGACAATAACCAAAACTTTCAGAAATCATATCCCAATCTTACCAAATGCAGCGGCAGCCATGGTCTGGTGATCAAGAGATTGCTGTGAATCTGCATTTGGGAGGTCTGGTCGAGTGTAGTCCCTGCTCTTATCGTTGTTGTACTTGACATTGAGGCTCGTCAGCTTGGAGAAGCTAATTCTCAAGGTACAGCAGGCGTTGTAGATGTTCTGTCCATCCAGAGACTGAGACAAATGTAGTAACATTAGTCTTAATGTAATGTATTTTCATTTGTTTTATTAAAGAAATAGTGTAACTGCAATGTTTTGGTGTAGCCTGATTCATTTAGCATAACCAGTCTTCATCCTACTTAATATGGCAAAGCGCACACAATGACATCATGGTAACTTCAGAAGGAAACATCCTGACGTGACACAAGTTGTCTTACCAGTTTAGCATGCTGAGCTGTCATGCCATCGGCGTACTGGATCAGAGCCTGGAACTGGTTGTTCTTAGTGAAAGTGATGATCTTCAGGACTGTACCGAACTTGGAGAAAATCTGGGGAGGGGATACGGACTGATTAGAAATGTCTCTTTAACACACTTATGATAGCTCTGCCTGAGGATTAGGGAGAGGAGGGGGTTGCATAGTGTTTAAACAAGAGTTCCATTGTTACCACTGCATATTTTTTATGCTGCACCTGAGGGGCACAGGCGTTATTTCTCAGTAACATTATGATGACAGGAGAAAAGGGGCAAATCCAAAAACAGTATAATATCAAAATATATTTTTAGTAGGTGAGTAGGTGGTATACTTAGCTGAAGCCAAGTTAGATATATGACTTTACGCCACTTAGAAAGATGTTTTAAAAGACTTTAAGATAACTAAAATAGAACAACAACAAATATGTCAAACAAATTAAGTGCGATTTAACGTCACTTTTCAGAGACCTTCAGGCAAACCACACTATTTAATACATGTTTTAATTATTTTTGACTGATGATTGTTGCTGCTTGTCCTTGTGCTGGAATGAGAGATGTGGTGGTGAAGTTATGTTCCTCAAAGTCCACATGGAATTCCACTGTCGAGATTCTTTTAAAATTTTAAATCGCATGTCAGAAAAAAAAAACATTTTCCAGTAACTACAGGTGTTACAGTTATAGCAACCACGACAGAGATCGTCCTATAGTTTTTCTACATTTACACAGTAATAAAACTACAAAATCTGCCTGTACCTGGTGTAGGACATCCAACGTGACGGGGTAGAAGAGGTTTTCCACTATGACTCTGAGTACAGGGCTTTGACTCCCTGCTCCTCCCATAGCTGCTGCATCTGTGGCAATGGCCATGCTTCCCATCCCACCACCGTGCAGCGCATTGACTGCCTGCAGAGCGGCCTGCGCACGCTGAGGGAGAAAAGTGAAAGGAATTCTTAAACATGGATGGAGATATGTATGCAGTTGAACTATTTCATGTGGGTGACATTAACAATTAACTAAGGTAATTATTAGCAAGAATAATTTGTCTATATTGCAAAATAACATATGACGTGACCGTACAGTTTAGAGCATTTTAAAAGATCAAAGTTCATAAGAATAAATTAGACACCAAAGGCCAAAAGGAACACTACATTTACATCTCCTGCATTCAACAAACACTTGAACTAATGGTACATTAACTAAACTTGTTTACGCCCTTGAGCCAAAACAGCCAATATGAAAATCATGTGTGACAACCAGTCCTTACCACTTGGTTGGGAGAGTTGTCCGTCTTGAGCTCCTTATGGGTTGAATATTGCATGTAGATGGGGTGGTTTCTGATGACAGGAGTGACAGAGGAGTAGTAGCTCACCATCGTCTGTGCACACTCTTCGCTGTTCAGTTCCAAGAACGCCTGCAGGGACGGACCACAGCAACACATTCAATCTATTTCTCCCATCGCATACATTAAGAAAGCACCTTGCAGTAATGTTCATTTAACATTATTGATTTTGCACATCTGCTGTAAACCACTCAAATTAACTGCAATGTTAAAGATAGAACTGTGTAAAATGACACAAAACATAATGGAGGGATAAACCGTCTTCCTCCAGGATATCTATAAAAGACGAATTGTCTCTCTTTCCACTAAACCACAAGGATGTAACAAAAGGGTAATTGTTGTCATTTTCAGGTCAGGACAAAACGGATAGAAAACCAATCCCTTGCCTCAGACCTAAAAAAAATAAAAAGGGAGTGCCAACTATACAGGTTTGGTGAGCAGACCTGTCTTTATCTCTCCTTACCTGGTTCTTCCCTTTCAGCATCAGCAGATTGGTGACCTTCCCAAAGGGCAATCCCAGGCCAATAACCTCTGCCTCGTTTATGTCATTGGGAAGCTTGCGTACATGGACCACACGTGACGGAACACCAGGACTGCGAACGTCACCTTTGAATTTTTTGCTGTCGTTGCCATTGGCTGCAAGAGAAAACAAGAGGCAGATACAATCATGAAGGGAACAGAAGGCTCTGGTTCCTCTTGAATAATGGATTGATCGTCATGGCAACACAAACAACACAGACACGCCAAGCAATTCAGTAAAAAAAGGATTCACCCTTCCCTGGCAACCCCCCCTACCTGAGTTCATGATATAGGGTCCGTTGGATATGCAGGAAGAAAAGAGTTCGTCGGATCCCCTCTGCAGAAGGAGAGAAAACAATGGTTTACTTCAGAGGCCTCAACAATGAGGGCACAGCTTGACAGGTGGAGAGTACAGCTCTCATATTACAGAGCCATTGTGTGATAAAAGAGGAAGTAATCTGATAACCAAAAGAGGATCTAGCAAACGCGCTTGAGAAAAACTCCACCTTGCTCACCATGAGGAATTCAGTCGCCCAGCTTGTCAGCAGGGATATTTCACTTCCTATCATATTAAGATATCCCTATCTCATCCTCCAACAGTACAAGCTAATTAAAGAATGTCATATCTTACTGGTAAAAAAAAAACAGGGTAATTTGGCACCTCGCTCTCAAGGAGGAACAGCTACTATTCAGCCCCGGGGCACACGAGTCAGCAGCTGCAGTCATTTAAACTCATCTTCTCAATTCAGCAATAGGAAGGGGAATAACAAACTGAAGCGCTCTGGATGGGAAAACAAGACAGAGATACTCCCAGCTCACACTGGCTCAGTGTCTGCTGAATGAGCCTTGTCCAGCTTCTCTCTCTCTCTTCAGTAGATATAAAATGCTGTTTCAGGGCTGTTCTTGCCATCTCGTGTGTTTGTGGTTGTGTGAGATGAAGTATTGCAGTCACAAGAAGTGGCTCAGCAGCCTAAGCTCTGCAGCACTCTACAATGATGGTCCTGTTCAGGCTGAGACTAGGGGCATTGTTACGCAGCAGCACACACACATATGGAGCCCTGAGGACTCTCTGGGAGTTGAAGGGCCCTGCAGTGTTTTAACTACAACCAGTCATACAGGTTTGTGAGTATTCTTCTCCACCTAGTGAATCCTGGCCTTTAAATATGCAAGGTTGTGGTGGGGTTTCCAGTCAAGCAACAAAGTCTACTCACAAAAGGCAGGAATGAAGTAATTGGAGAGAACGGTAAAGAGGCGGGTGTGGGGTACTGAGATAGTTGCTATGAGAATGCAGCACTGTAAGCAGTAGTATAAACTACCCTTTGACTTCCAGATGGTTTGGCTGACTCGGCTGACTCACACTGAGCCCCACGCAAAAGGGTCTGCTATCGTAACACATGAACTTTAAAGCAACAAGCGACATTCCAATGCCTTTTCACTGTTTTAAGATTTGTGGATTTTACAAATATTGGCAAATAGAATGCAAACATGAAATACAATCACTGAGCTAAGATCACTAGGTTTCAAACAGACTGTATTGTCGACAAGACTAAGAATTATTGTTTAGAAAGCATTGCCTGCAACTAGAAGAGGCTTGTCTCAACAGGAATATTACAGTCAACATACTGTTATTACAATCTCTCATCTAATTATAGTAGTCTAGATCAGGGTGGTGTGTTCTACTTGGTGGGAAGAAATATAAAAACAATATTTGCGCTTGATAAATGGGCGAGGAGCAGATGCAAGCCATGAGAAATGAAGGAAGTGGCTCCAGCCTGACCCAGTGGACATGGGCAGGCAGCGTCACAGTATCAGTCAGCAGACCAACTCCTAACAGGAAGAACAGCGAGAGCAGACCAGCTTCCAGGGTTTTTCCTACACTTCCTCCTGGAGACTGGTAGTTACTGTTCTGGTTGAGACTCTCTCTCTCCCCCTGCTTCCTCAGTCTAATAATAACCACAGAGCCAAGCAGCTTGTAGCCTACAAAGCAGAAGAAGAAGTCACACACAGAACATAACGCTGTGTTGCAACTGACTGAGGAATACATCTGAGGGTGAGTGGTTGATGGTGCAGAGCAGCACAAAGGAAAAAGTTACAAAGTCAATGGAAGAAAAAGAGAACTAATACATGGTTTGTTAGTAGACTTCAACACTGCGCCAAACCCATTTCAACACCAACCCACTAAATGTATATCGACTTGGTTATATCCTTTGTTTGCGCAGATCACTGACAGTATAATGGTAACCTTCAGGGGGTGATGACACATTGCTGGCACACAGGTTGGAGCTGAAGCAACTTCCTTTTACTGACAATGGAGATCCCTTGAACTTAAATAGCTCTCATATTTAAAACATCTCCTTTGTTTCATTTTGAAGTTTTAATATCCATAAGAGGATATATTTGTGGTTTAAGTTCCAAGGTTCCGGATGTGACAGCACAATGTTAAGGAAGTGTTGAAGATTCATCACTTCCTGCAATATAGGACCTTTAAAAGGGAAAAAAGACCTGGGGCGATTTCCTTGCTCCATAAACCACACTTGGGTTTCATTGCATCAAAGAGGGAAAAAAAACTTTGGATCGAGTACAGAAACTGAATCTGACATGATTTGTTTGTGCTTATGACTGCAAGCAACATTATTTTGCCCCTGCAGGGGTGTTGGTGGGTGGTTCTCTCTCCGGAAAAGCACAAAGGAGGGGAGCACAGGTAGAGACATGTTTGCTCAGTGTGATAGTCGGTGGAGGGGGCAGGGCGCTGTGCCTCACCAGGGGGCTGGAGGGGAAGATTGGAATGCGACCGCGGAATGCCAGACGCTCTGCCCAGATGGAATAATTACAGATTCCAGTGTGGCAGAGCTCCATAACTCTGCATCATCTTTACCGCAGCACATCAAATCCATAAAAACAGGAAAAGTTTATGAAAGAAAAACACCAGGAGTGAAAATCCTAACCCTTGAGAAGCACCCATGACATGGTGCTTTGTTGATCATGTTGAAAAACAGACCAAACCGAAATCAGTTAGAGGGGGTGGGGTGTGTCCCTCTTACGGGTGTATGTATTAGAGGGCTTGTTTAAACAGTGTAAAGACCTTTGCCCAGGAGGATGGTTACAGCTTTAAGTCAAGATCAATTACCCCACCTACGCATAGCTGCCATAGGCCCTGTTACCAAGGATTACTACTCGGACAGGTTTCTTTTAATGGGGTATGCAAGCTAACAGCCAGCAGTGACAAAACAATTGATTTCCTTCTCCAACAAGTTTGCGCACACACACAAACATCGCTATTTCAGTTACATAAGTGGAACTGACTGAACATTGGACAAGACTTTGCTGCTGACTTGTTTTATTCGTGCTGGTAGAGGGGTCTTGTGACAAGAAACAAGAGGGGATAAATATCAAGCACTTTGACCAAATTCAGATGCTTTCTTAACATTCCAGAAGGACTATTAAAGAACACAGAAAGTAAACAGGAAGTTTCATTTCCCCGGCAATCACATAACTCAACAGAGACTGGGGTGGAAAACATAAAGCCCCACCTCGGATAATCTATTCTAATAAAATGATCAAAAACTGCATTTTCACAGACCGACGAGTTCTTACAGTCTCAGTGTACCGATTGCATAAATTAAGTAGAGCCCGTCCGCAGCTACAAACTCATTACATGTTGAGCAATGGCGTTACACAGCACTTCTGTAATTATAGGGGAAGTTCCTGCAAACTGCACGGGTCCCACGTCCCCAACGTTGGTTCTATTCCTTTCCATTTCCACTCACTTGTTAATTCTAAAAACCCTTTTGTCTCTATACATTCTATTTAACTAGAATGGGAAACATCTGTACAATTCACGCCGCCATTAAATCAATGTAAGCAAAGGATCAAATGTAGTATAGCAAATTAAACGAGGGACAGTGACAACAAACAACGATTATCTGAAAATGGCCTACCTTTGTGCCAACTGATATGTCATGGACACTCCTGTGGAAGAGAAAACATTCTTCAGTTAGACAGGAAATCAAACAATAATATGCAACACTGATCAAAACAGTTGTAGTATTATAAACTGTGGTACCACACATCGACAGAGAAACAAAAGAAGTGATGCTGGTCAAACAACAGGAAATCGACCTCCTCACCGAGGTAGGAGAACATGCAATAAATAAACAAGACACTTACTCGATTTCAGGGACGTAGCCGGATCCCAGAGGGTACAAGTCAGCGTCTAGGCGGCTGTGGAGGATAGAAAAATAAAGTGTGAAACTTCAGTGGCACAAATGTCGACGAGATAAATTTGCGAGTCGCTGTCGTGAACTGAAACTAGTATTGCCTCGTTTTTTTTGTTTTCGGCTGAGTACTGTGAAGATTACTGTCAGTTTCAGGTGGAGGGCACGCTCGAGACGAAACAATGCCCTATTGTAAATCCTAGCCCTGGTTCAGGAGTCTCTGACTGAATCAACGTGAACTGTTCGGGCCAGACATCTTCAACATGGCCCTGGAACTCCGCAGACAAATGAATGCGGAAATGAGACACGTTGCTTTAGCTAGTTCCCGTGTAACCAACTTACCGAGGAGCAGTTAGCCAACAGCCAACGTTAATACGAGTCTGCGCTAGCTCACGACGCAATGCTAATATAACGTATTTAAAAGAAAAAAAGTATATAAAACTAGAAAGTTGAATTCACGTTTACTTCCAAACTCTCTTCAGGTGACGCTCGCACAAAGCGAGACAGACGCGAAATTTGTTAGCTTAGCGACGTTAGCCAGTTAGCTGGCGCCCCCGCTAACTGTTGCATGTTTGCGTGGAAAAAACAATTTCGAGTAAACTTTCCCGGTCAGACTCTGAAACCGAGCGGCCATGTGGAGTCGGGATACACCGACAAGAGCCCCGAGCGTGCGGAGGAGTCTCCGCGGGGTCGGTTTGCGCGGAAAATTAGAGAGTAAAGTGTGGTTCTTTCGCACTTACCCGTCCATTGCACAAGAAACAAACTGCAGGTCTGAGGAGAAGACAGGGCGGCGCACTTGCTTGATTTTCTTACAAAATGGCTGAACGCGCGGAGGCGAGCGCTGATTGGCCCGGGCGCTCCCGAGAGGCCAAAAGGGGGCGGGGGCCGGCCTCGGCGGTGAGACGCCATTGGACAAGACGGCCGTCATTCGCGCGGGGAAAAGGAGGCCGCGGCAAATTTCCAGCACATCACAACAGAGGTGAGTTTTTCTGTGGGACGGAAGATTCACTTTGGTTTCACTCACAAAACCCCACAGCGAGCAAGAGGGGAGTTTAATATGCTGTAGTTTGGCAGTTTATAAAGAAGCTTAGCTGAAAACAATGTAGTGTAACACTTTAAATCCTCCTGTTCTGGAGGTTTCAGTGCTCAGTGTGTGTTTCAAATCAAGACATGTCCCAAACATCCCATAACTTCCACTGGTGGCAGGCCATGAAGGGATAGTTCACCGAGAAATGAAGAGTCACTCATTACCTACTCACCATGGAGGGGTGAGTGAAGGGAACACCTCTGGAGTCTCAGGGGGAAACAGAGTTGCAGCTTAATCCAATCCCACTGAAGTAAATGGTGACCACTTCTTCAAACGTATAAAAACAACTGATAAAAAAACATGGAAGGCCTCCATGCTGCTCCTGTGGTGTCGTCCATGTGTCCGTAAGCAACAAACATTCAAATTCAAGTTGGAACGGTGTCATTTACACCATGTTTTTTTCAGCCTAAATGAAGTAACTGGGCCACAGTTACTTCATTTATGTGTTCATTCTTTAATTGATTATAATACGTTAATTGTTTACTGTGTGTGTTGTACAAAAAACTGCCTGCTGAAGTTTTAAATGTCAGCTCACTATAATTACTGTGAAAGAAAGGTATTAAACTCTCACACCTGAAATGCTGGAATTAGACTGAAGAGTTTATTCAATTAGGCTATGAAAACTAATGAAAGTTAAAATTAAAAGTACATTCTAAACAGACAGCATATATTGTTTTTATATACATTATATGTTTTTTTTTGACAGAATGTAAAGGCAGAAAATACACACATCTACTTATTCATGATGACAATTATATAGATCTATGTTGCTTGCAAAAAAAAACAGCTAATCCTAATTCTACATAAGACTATACACAGTTTCACTGATCAGCATTGTGAAGACCTATTCAAATGAGAAATACCCAGACTGATTGGCTCAGTTTGAGGTGTGAACAACAGAACTGGTTTAGGCGGCGACACCACAGTGAAGATAGTAATTGCCCTGATACTGTATCATGCTGCTGGCAGCCCGAGAAGTGTCTCGTCAGGAACTTCAACCACATATGCTAACTGAAAATTTCACACATGATACAGAGGATGGGGGTTACTGATCGGCTTGGGTTGCTGCGCATGTATGTACATTATCAACAACGCCACAAATCAATCAGTTTACAAGTCACGTACCTTTAAGTTAGGCAAAAGGTAACGCCCACACAAATGTTGGAAACAGGAAAACAAGTAAAACAAAAAGCTTGTCAAGCATTACCAGAAGAGATTAGATTAGTGTTTGAGCCCAGGAATACATTAACACAACATACACAACACAGTTTCACTATGTAAACAGCCAGCAGGGGCACGTACACTCTGTAATTAAACAGAATCAGTGATATTAAAAGTAGTGAACTGGAAGCAAAACATAATAATATAGAAATTCCAATTAGGGAAAGTGTTGTGAATTATATGTATAGTCATAATTAAAGATGTGAAAACTTAATGTATCCTAATGTATTTTATTGCCTATAGCTCTTTGTAATTGAGTCAATTAGGTGGCAGTTATGTTTGCTTGGTAATTCATATGAAGAAGGGGGATATTATAATATTAAGAAACACATTTTTTAATTCATTCTGTTGACGGACTTAACAGTTTGTATCATGGTGTTAGGAAATGAAATGAGGAGCTGAATGGTCGGGTGTGAGAGAAGGTGAGAAGTAACACAAACCCAGATGAGGTGGATAATGACACCAGTCACACATTGGTGTTGTGTGTTATGTGCTCCTGGAAAAGATATGAGCCACGGATGTCAGCTGGTGCGTTAAAAAAAACACTGTTGCACCATTGAGAGCGACGTCTTGATGTCATTGTTTCCTATATGTATTGGAAAGAAATTAGTTTTTTAATGTGATTGGATTCTAAAGGAAACATAATTTGATTGTTTCCCCACGTTAAAGTGGTTGCCTATCTTAATTTGTGTCTGCAGGGTATCAATGAGGCTCACGTTTGACAAACTAATCACAGAGGATAAGGTAATTTACCAGTACTTGTTGCCATAGCAGCAATTTGATTTTGATTAGACCTCTTAGGGCTGATTGGGATGATTTATGCGCTGCATCCTTCAACAAATTTCTGTGTTGGGTCTCGTGATCCCAGAAATTGAATTTCCTCTCTCCCCCTTTCAAATTGATTTGAAATGAAACCTTTCATTTTCTTTCCATCCCCCCATGACTGTTTATGTTCTGCTGGTCCG